CACATTTATCAGAGTTCAGAACCAATTATTATATATTGGTTCTGAACTCTGATAAACGTGATAAAACAGCACGACATAAGCTATATTCTATCTCTGTCTTCTGTCCTGTTTTACCATTAAATCTGACTTAGTGTTTCGATTTTCTGCCATTTATCCTATGGCGGCACTCGTGATGTTGATTTCGTGTTAGACCAGGCAAAGTGGAGGCAACGAGCAGTCCATAGTTATATAGTCAAAGGGTGTGATGTATCGTAGTAGTGTGTCCGTGTGCTCATGTATATACGAAAATGGTAATTCTGTCGGTAATACATAGATGTCGGTAGACCCGCTACGGGATCCTCTTAACAGCGTCAATTGTGCAATCTAAAAAAATTGGCGAAAGAGAGTTTGTTTATTTCAATTACACGCTAAATAGAGCGTCTTGGCACTCAAATCGAGCGTCAACTCGAAGTCAGCGTCAAGCGTCCACTTAACGCTACAATTCAAAAAAGTCCCCTAACTAACTAGTTTGACGTTCAAAGTGAGCGTCAAGCGTCAGCATGAAAATGCACCTTAATAAATTACTATCATTGCACCATTCAGCACTCAGGATTCCTAGTAATTTAGTAAATCGCAAGCAATCCAGCAGGAACAATTGCGTCGTCTCCAGCGGGCTTAATACGCGTACGGAAGCGAACGCGTGGAAGAAACGCCAACGATTGTCGATCCGCATCCGACGCACACGGTCGGTCGAACATGTTTCTCATTGCGTACGCTTCGCACGGCCACGCGAAATTCGTCTGGACAAGCCTAGGAGGCGCGTTCATTGGCACGTTCGTAAACAGGGCTGCTCGCGCGCGGGAACGTGCCGCGAGGTATCAAGAGTTTCGCTGATCCGAGGATTTGCGGCTCGGCGAGTCGAGTTTCGAGTCGCCGTCGCAGCCGCCGCCGCCACCGGTTCGTCCGTTCGCTCGCTCGCCGCCGGTACCCGTTCGTCGGTCGCCGTCGAGTGCCGTCGTCGCGGTTGGTGGAGGGGAGATGGCGGGTGTCGCGGGCACCACGCTGGATGTACGCGTGTGCGTCCGCGAGAGATGCCGTCGTGCTCGACGGCCCTGAGCGCCGGAGCGAGCGGCACTCGCATTCGTTCTCGTACCGGCGCCCTCGCCGCCCGTACGCGTCCGCGCTGAATCCGACGTCGACGTCTCGTCACCGCCAGCAGCAGGAGCCTCGTGATCGCGCGGCGCGGTGGCCGCCCATTGGACTCGGGCTTAACCTCCGCGCGCGCGAGAGACGTCGGCAGGCGGTTCTCCGGGCACGCTATGACAAAGGGTGGCATCACTGGGGACGTGTTGGAAGTACGGATGGTGCAGCGCTCGCTGATATGACGCCATTTTACTAACCTGTCCGTCGCGTACCACCACCAGCCGCTCGGGGGCCGCCGAAACGCTTCGCGTTACGTGCCGCACGCCACGCGGCCGACCGCATCGTCGCGCACAGCACGCTCGACGCCTGTCCCGCGCTCTGCGAAGGTGAGTCTAGCGCGAGCTCGCCGCGATGCCCCGCGGCCGCGTTCGCGGGAACTCGGGCACGCGCGCGCGCGCGCGCGCACGCCAGAGAGCTCGCTCTCTCTCCTTCTCCCTTCCTCATCCGCCTGGTCTCGCCGCGCGAGTCATCCTCGCGCGTTTCCGTCGTCTTTGTCCACGCGTCGCCCGGCTTCCGCCGGCGATCCCGTCGCGGAGCGAGACGGCTCGAGCAAGCGCGAGACGCGGTCGCCCTCGCGTCTCGGAGTCGGGCGCCGCTTCCCTCCCCCCCCCCCGTTTCCTCTCCTCGGAAGGTAGCGGCGGATCCCGTGCGGTCGCGAGGTCCCGAGGGTCCGCCGCGGAACCCTCGCGTTTATTCCGGGCGTGACACGTGACTGTGGATCCGCGAGTCCGAGTTTTCTTTTTTTTTTTCCGGGTCTCGTCCTTTCCCTCGCGGCGGCGGAAGTGTGAAATCCTCCGAGAGTGGAATCGCGACGAGTGATCGTCGTCTACGCGACGCGGCAACGACGAGACCTCTCCGCGTCCACCGAGAGATCGCGCCGAGACGGAACGTCCGCGTCGAGGCCGCGGGACAATTTCGCGCTCGACTCTGCTGGGATTAACAACAGTTTTTTTTCTCTCTCTCTCAACAGTAAATAGACGTGTGCCCGTTGGCGCGTTTGGTAACCGTTTTTAACGAGTGTGCCGTTCGAATAGCTCGTGTTTACGGTAAAAATTAAGCCGCGCGTGTGTTTCGTGTCCGGACACGCGCGACGTACGTGCAGCTGCGATAACGGCAACTGTGTGATTCCAGGTAGATCGGCGCAGCAGCACGCGTTATTATGGAAGATGAGGACGGAGAGAGCAAAGTAATAGATATGTGGAACATCCTGGAGGAGCAGCGGCTCAAGGATACCGCGCTGGGCAACGCACTGAGACATTCCATCGACGACGTGTACGCCGACGTGATCGAGGAGGAGAAGCAGCTGATACGCTACAACTCGATCGTGGCGAGCGAGCCGCCGGGCAGGAACGCCGTCGCCGGGCCGAATTTCATATTCAAGGGCCTGAAGAAGCGCATCTTGGCCGAGGCGCGGGAGACGCCCGCGGTCGCGCCCAGGAACAGCGTGCCGGACCTGCGGCAGCCGACGCGTCCCAATGCGCGAGCCGGCAAGGAGAGGGGGGGAGTGCAGAGGAAGCGGAAGCGCAAGATCACCGAGTACGCCCAGTACCTGGGCCTGCGGCCGTCGACGAGGCACAAGTGCCCCAAGTGCCAGGCCTGGTCCAGCTGCGGGCCGGACGCGAGGCGGAGCACGTCGTGCGCTTGCAGTCCCAGCATGACGCCGACGCCCGGCACCTCCGAGTCGAGCGCCGTCACGGTGCCGCCCGCGAGCAGCTTCAAGATCACGCGGAAGGTCTACCTCTGCTCGGCGTGCGGCACGTACTTCGAGAACTGGAACCTGTTTCTGCACATGAGGGACATACACAAGCGTCACATATGCCTCTACTGCCTGGGGATGTTCGGCCAGGCGGAGAGGCTGTCGTACCACCTGATGAAGAAGCACAGCGTCCCGGAGATGGCGTTCTCCTCGGGGGACGACTTCTCCGACGCCTTCAAGGGCTCGTGCTACCTGATCTGCTGCAGCTGCGAGAGGGTGTTCACGGAGACCGACAACTTCTTCAGCCACTTTTGCTCGCCGGTGCCGGAGCAGGACGCGCCCGTCGCCGCCGCGTCCACGTGCACCATATGCCGGCAAACCGGCACGCACGCGAGCACCTGCAACGCCACGCTGCCGCTGGATACGGACAAGGAGCCGCGCGGCGCGTCCACGCCCTTGTCGGTCGCCGACGCGACGTCGTACGCGGACGACGCGTCGCCGACGACCGTCCCCCCGTCGGAGTTGCCCGCGAATCTCGGGGGTAAAGGCCTGCCGAGAAAAGCGATCAAGTACAACAGGAGGAAACGCGGGCGGGAGGACGGCGTGCAGAATTCGTGCCAGCAAAAGTCGGGCGCGCTGGCGAGGAAGCTCGGCGCGACGGTCCAGTGTAACGAGAGTTGCTTCGATCGCGATCTCGACGTCCCGAGAGAAATGGCCAACAGCTTGCCCAGGGACACGGTCACCGAGACGATAATGGAGGTGTCCAGGTACAGGGGCGACAACTCGTCCGACGAGAACGACGAGAACGACGAGCAGGCGATGAACAAGGACGTGTGCAACAATCGTGACCGTGGGGTCAAGTCGCCGGTCCCGAATTGCCAGCTCGACTTCAGCGAGCCTTACGACAGCGTGACGGAGACCATCATGGAGGTGTCGCGCTACACGGGTGAGGAGGAGAAGAGCGATAGGGAGGAGGCGACGCGTACCCCGAGCGTGCACGCGTCACGAGCGGTCGAGAAGGCCAACACCGAGGACGAGGAGACGTGCGACAGGAGCGACGTCGAGCCGTCGCGCTCGGCCAGTTCGAGAGCACCTAGTCCGGTACAGTGGGACGCCGAGGAGATGGCGACGGCGGACGCGAAGGCGAACGAGAGCGGGGCCAAGTCGACGGGAGACGACAGTCCACGGGAGACGCGAAGCTGCAGTCCCGTCAGCCGGTCGTTGTTTAGTCCGCAGCACGAGTCGCTCCTGTCGGACTCGCAGCCCAAAGAGAAAGAGAATTTCGAGGACGTCGACAGGAGGAGGGCGGAGAGAGCTGTCGCGACCAACCCCGGTGAATCTCAAGCCTCGGCCTCGTTCAACGCCGTCGCGCCGTCCGACAGGAGTCTGGTCATCAAGATTTGCAACAGGAACTCGCAGTTCAGCGTCGCGACCACCACCGTCACGAGTCGGGAGTCCGAGGAGAACAACAACGCCGAAGGGTCCACGTCGAAGGAGAGAGTGCCGAACGGCTCGGACATGGGGCGGGACCTGGTCGACGATGATCAAGCGAACGAGCTGGACGACAGCGATTCCGACAGCGACAAGCTGGCGGTGGTGGACAGTAATCCGGAAGAAGACGAGGAAGCGGAGGACGGCGAGGAGGGCGAGGAAGCGGACGAGGCTGAGGACAGGCGCGACGACGCGGCGGACGAGAGCCGGAGGAACGACGAGACCGGGACCGGGACGTGCACCGACGACGGCCTGTTCTCCGTCGCGGAGACGATGCCGCTGGGCGGTACCGACGAGGCGACGTCCGACGGCAACGCGATCGGAGGTGTCGCGAACGAGGAGGCGAGAAGCCACACGATCGACAACAGCGGCATCGTGCTGGCCGGCGAGGACGTCCCGTCTATCGACCTGAACGTCGAGGGCACCCTGGACAGCATGGAGCTGGAGGAGCTGCTGAAGCGTTGCATCGAGGCGGCCAGTCCCGTCTGCGTGTACTGCAACCACGCGCGTTACATCGCCGTCAACGGCAGGCAGCTGGGCCTGCACATGCTCGCGGAGCACAAGTTTCAGCCGCAGCATCCCGCGATAATTATATACGCGGAGCAGTTCACCGCGCGGGTGAAGCGGTCCCTCGACGAGCTCGAGTCCCGTTACTTCAACCTGGACACGTACAACAGCGGGGACGGCACGTACAACGTGCCGAGCGTGCTGATATACGAGTGCTTTCACTGCAGATTTCACTCGACCGTGCACAAGGAGCTGTACCTGCACAACCGCAAGATGCACCAGAAGACCATACTGATCTGCATAATGTGCAAGTCGACGTTCTACAGTTACAGCGAGCTGGTGTGCCACCTGTGCCCGGGCGTTTACTCGCCGAACGCGAATCTGCGGTACCGCTGCTGCCTCTGCTCGGTCGCGAGCCTCCCGTCGGCGTTCCGGCTGATGGTCCACGTGCGAAAGCGCCACCACGCCTGCGACGTCTGCCTCGAGTCCACGGGCAATCAGCAGCGCTTGTCGAATCACGTGTGGAAACACAAGCTACACCATTTGTGTTACAGATGTGGCATCGCGTACCGCAACAAGCCGGACATCACCAAGCACTTGTTCTGGAAGCACGGCACGGAGAGCGTTCTGTGCCGGAAGTGCCTGCAGAAGAAGTGGCCGCACATCTATCACTTTTGCATACCGCCCACGGCGTTCGGCTGCGAGGAGTGCGGCTCGAGCTTTAGGCGCGCCGTGGCGCTCAAGGTGCACAAGAGGCTTCACACCGGTGACTTGCCGTACGGTTGTGACGAATGCGGGCAGCGCTTCATATCGCGGAAGCTTCTGGCCAAGCACCAGGCGACTCACAGGGAACCCGAGCCGGAGGACGTCCACGTGAACGTGACGGACGTGGTCAACGCTCCGCTGGTGGACAAGGATGAGAAGTTGGACAAGGATGCGTCCGCGGTGGCGGTCGACGGGGACTTGACGGCGGGAGTCGAGGCCACGTCGAAGAACGTCAAAGAGGCTGTGAAAAGGGTGGTCGACGTTTACGATCTGCCGCCGCTCAACCTGTCGTCCGAGAGCGATACGGACAGCGAGGAGGAGAGGCTTGCCTCGACGGAGAACAAACCGCCGGAGAAGGAGAATCTCGACGAGGACGCGACGAGGAAGAGCGAAGCCGCCGAGGCGACCGCCACCGCCACCGACGACGATGACGTCGCCGCATTGAGCAACGATATAGTCGAAGTGGAACGCAACGAGGAGGAGAAGAAGCAGGAGGCGCGCATCATGGACGGTATCTGGGACAACTTTAAGACGTACGCCGCCAGTCTCGACGTCGAGGAATCCGCCAAGAATGTCGCGTTGAAGGAGAGCGTGCCCGAGACCGACGCCGCGTACTTGAGGAGCATCGTCATCTCCGATCACGATTACTGCGTGGTATATTCCCCCGACAAGGAGAAGGGCGAAGACCGGGCTACTCCGCTGGACGACGACGCGAAGGCGAGCGAGGCCAAATCTAGGACGAGCCCGTCACCCGGCACTCCGAGTCGCAATGCCGGCTGCGACAGCGACGCGAACAAGCGCAAGTCGAAGACACCCAAGAAGAAGAAGCGAAGCGGTAGCGCGTCGTCCACGAGCGACTCCTCGAGCGACACCGACTCGAGCAGTTGTTCATGCGGCACCAACTGCAGCTGCAGCAGCTCTTCGTCCGGCAGCTCCTCCAGTTCCAGCAGCAGCTCCGATTCCGACAGCTCCGCGTCCGAGAGCTCGCCTAGGAAGCAGTCCGGAAGCAGTCGCAAGGACCGGAATAAGAAGGAGAGGGAGACCACGCGGGAGGACAAGTCGCAGTCCGTCGAGCCGGAGAGCAAGCCGGAGGTCGCGATGGAGAACGGCTCCGAGAACCCCGAGGCGGTCACGAGCGAGCCCTCTCCGGCGAAGCCGCTCTTGCGAGAGTCCGACTTGGAGACTGAGGAGACTGAGACGGACGAGGACTTTTACGACGAGTATCCGCAGCTGCTCGCCAACAAGCTGTTGGCGGAGAAGCGTAATCAGTTGCTGGTGTTGGCTGCAGGTCCTGTATCGACGCCGACCTCGACATTGCCGGCGTTAGAGCAACCGACGTCGATGCCACTCAACAACGGCATTCTGGCCCCGGAAACGGCACTGCCGGATCCGATCGCGATGGCCATCGAGAATCAGCAGCCGCAACAGCAGCCGCAACAGCAGCCCCAGCAGCAGCAGCAAAAGAAGAAGACGAAGACGAAAAAACGACGGAAGGGTGAGAGGGGCGGTAAACGTAACGCGATTACAACAGGCACCGTGGAGTCGATCAAGCTGAACATTCCCAAGGCGCTTTACCAGAAGAACGCGGGATTCGTTGCATCGTCGCAGCCGACGTTGGCGTCACGTTCCAACAGCAGGTCCTCGACGCCAAGTCTGCTGCCGGCCGCGACGTGCAACGACTTCCACAGCGGCAACGTTGCGCTGGAGATGCAGCAGCAACAGCAGGCATCGTCGGTCGCTGTCGCCACTGCCACCGTCGCCAGCGTTCCAAGTCAGAACGTTGGCGGCGCCGGTAGCGCGGAGGCGGAGAACAAGAGGGTCTCGAAGAGGAAACGCGTGCCAAAGCGCTTTTACGGCGACTCGAGCGACGACGAGCCGCAGGAAAAGCAATCGTTTGGCCGATGGCGGAAGATCGAGACAGCAGCCACCTCCGCGTCCACCGCCACCACCGTCCCGGCCTTCGCGCCGTTGCCGCCGCCGCTGCCGCCGCCGACGGCGATGACGCCGCCGAATCCGAAGCCGCTGATCTCGAGATTGTCCTTGAGCGGCAAGACTATCGTACAGACGTATGGAAACAGACCTGCTCCGGCGGAGCCAGCGGCAGCGAGCCAGCAGCAAGTGGTTCTACCAGAGACGTTGCCGGTGGCCGCGCCGGTGAATTCCGCCACCGAGTCCGAGGGCCCCGCGGAGAGCAGCAGCGACAGCAGCGAATCCGAAGCGGAGAACACCGTGAGCCAGCCGAAGGTGAATCCGATGGTGACGCCGGCGGCCGTCGGCGCGTCGACCACTATGGAGCGACCCGGCAAGATATACTGTTACTGCCGATGCCCGTACGACGAGGTGTCGGAGATGATAGCCTGCGACGGCGAGGACTGTCGCATCGAGTGGTTCCATTTCGAGTGCGTCGGTATAATGGTGCCGCCCAAGGGCAAGTGGTACTGTCCGGACTGCAGAAAGAAGCACGGTATCGTGCAGAACGACGAGTACTGCGATTGATAGTTGCCGCACGCGACGACAACGGCGACACGGCGTGTTATTACCAAATTCGAGCGATCGGATCGTTGCTTTTCTTTAGGCATAATGCTAGAATGTTTCCTCCTTTCTTTTTCACGAGCGTACGAAAAGAAAAAAAAAGTTGCTACACTGTTCCACGTTGATATTTTTCTTAAGCCGAGACACAGAGTGTTTGTACATAACTATGTAAATACGTCTTAGAATAATTATAAGAATGAAATAAGGTTTTTTGTGTACATTTCTTTGTACTTCTTTTAACGACGGCGTCATGTATAAATACATAGTGTTAGTAGGTAGATGAATAATTAGATAGGTAGATGATATCGCCGGCAAGATATTACCATCGAACAGGATTAATTCAACCACGTCTGAAATGTCTGTGATTGCCTCGATTCACCTGTAAGACAGTATTAAGCTCATTATTTATTATTGTATGGATATTTCGTAAACATATTTATAGCAACAACGTATATTGCTGACGAACACTACACCTTTTCATCCGCACGATCGGACAGGGAGTGAAGATACGGTTTTAAATAAAAATGCAATATTGTAGACAGTGTCGCATGTTGGCGAAATATATTACAAGTAAACTAATAATGAAGTTAATACTGTGCTACGAGCTAACGAGGATCGGCAGTCGTGCAAATTTTCGCAAGTCGATGTTTAAGGGCTAATGCCGCTCTAGCACCCGAAAAAACAGCCTAATTTTAACCATTTTTTTATCGGAATATAGTAAATGCATTACAAAATCTGTTTAAAGGCCTTTATTGTACATACTGAGAAATGTATTCACAATTTTTTTTTACAAAATAGCACCAGAGCTCAGCAAAGGAAGCCTCTTCCGCATCCGGAAAGATTTCTTCAATTTCTGACCTGGAAGAAACCAAACTTTTTGTGTTTTATATATGATTAGCTCGGGAAGTACCTGCGGAAATTAAAAAGTACCATTTTTTATACAAATGATGCAAGTTTTTTGCCTAAAAATAAAACTTTTTATGTACAATAAAGGCCTTCAAACAGATGTTGTATTCCATTTACTATGTTCACATAAAAAATTGTGAAAATTAGGCTGTTCTTCCGGGCGCTGGAGTGGCTTTGCCCCTCAACGGTACCTTGCCGGTGATAGTACAGATATTGATACGAAATCGTGCGCGAGCCTAGCAATGTGGCAGGGTTGCGTCTCACGAATCTTAGGATCTTCGCCTGACGCGCTTGATTGCGATTACATTTACGATCGTAGGCATTTCTGGCGGTGTCTTGTACCCCGGTCTTAGCTGTCCTCATTGCGATCGGCGTTTCGAAACTTCTCGATACCTCTCCGTTGGTCCGGTAAGACCACGCTGCTAAATGTATAACTGTCAAATTCAATTTTTCCTGAAATACCACGGATGCGGAAACGATTGTCCCCTCTCTTTTTCTTTTATTGGTACCGAGCTGCTCGAAATTTTTTAATTGCTGTATCCGCTGCGGGTCATTGATCGGTCTTTTTAATGACGGCGGTGTACGAATATCGTTGTGTAGCGCTTCCTCAAAGCAATGTACCTCTCGGGAGGCGAATCTTTCCTTGCTTCTAGTCTATCGTATAAGTATTGTCTTTAAATAAAACCTTATTCTTTCAGCAGTCGAAGCAGGCCCTTCCGCCGACAGTTCTATGCCACGCAGGAAAAATAACCGGTCAACGGTAATTGCCTGTGGTTGTATTAATTTTAATCGTAACACATCGGGTTTACAAATATCTGCGAACAGGCGGACGGCCGTCGTTCTTTGGCTACGAACTGTCGATTAATAAAATAACGTCTCACGGCAATCGCAAGTACTGTAATATTAGATGAAATGTTAGTTGGGAAAATTTTGCTGCGCAGTATTACAGCAACGAGTACGAGGAAACGAGTCCACATCATGCTGTTTTATATTGTCTCCTCGAGTTCCGTGTGCCGTATAGTTTATATATTTTTTACACGAATGGAAGAAGCGACGGACAAACGCCGGCGTTTCCTTCTCTAACGCCACTCTTAATTTTAGTTTAAATTAAAAATATGAAGATGAAACAGCTGCGATTTTTGGTTTATCGATCGCTTGCGTTTAACGGACCTCGTCACAGCGGTGCATAGCCGTAAAAGAAAAGAAAAACAAACTCTTAGAGTACGGCAAGTGGCCGTCGTGCTGATTTCCTCAATTGTCAGCCATAGTCTCCTCCAGCAATTCGACACCCATGATATCCTTGGCGAAATCTTTGTAAGATATCCTCTGTATCATAACATAATAATACATTACTCTCGGGAAGCCTAACGACGACTCTATCTTATTTATCGCCCATTTCCACAGCGTTTTTAAGCGTATTGCACGTGAGGAAGATGATTACCGGCGGGAGAAAACGGAAATTGAAAGACACGGATCTTGGCGACAGACTTGGCCGAGTCTCGGCCATTTCCTCGGTGGGAGACACCAGTGTTTCGAGATACGTATACGCCTCTTGCAAAGTCAACGGTTCACCTGCGACGGATAGCAACATAAATAAATGAGCAGAGGAAGATACGTTATTGGATACCGCGAGATATTTATTTTGAAACTGGTGTAAGTCCGGTTTAATTTTATTAATAATTCTACGCAGTTTATTCAAACTTTGAACAAGTATTTATGGACAAGTAAACAGAAATAAATTTCATATTAAATTTGATAAACTGTTACAATATAAGTAGAGGAAAGTGCTTTATTATGAGATAGGAGTCTAATATGAGATAATAGGTTTACAACGTCCAGATTCAATCACAAGTCTTTTTTCGCAACGATTACACGATCTAACAATGAACTTTCCACTAAACAGATTTCACTCCAAGGGCAATAAATTCATGGTGGAACCAACAGATGATTCCTATTAATTTAGCAGAAACTCCGCTGTCATATTAGGAGCCTATCTCATCATAGGGGACTTTCCTCTAATAATGTTAATCATTTAAGACACTTTTGAGCGAATTAATTAATTAATGTCAATAGATTCACCGATAGGCTTATCGTCTTCCATCAAAGTTTTCGATATTGCCCCACCGAGTAAAATATCCACAAACTGCTCTCGCGTTAAAGTAGGATTGTCTATACTGGTGGAATTCTCTTCGACGAGAGTACAAAAGGCTTCCTTTATGTGGCGTGTGCGAACTCTGAACGCGGGTCGATGATTCACAAAGAGTCGCACGAATTCTTCAAAAGTGATCTTTTCAACAAGTTTCCCGGTTCCAACATAATATTTGTAGCACACTTCTGCCATGATATTCTCTATCTTAAAAATAAAAATACTTAGCGAATCCTATCGTAACTTGATACACTGTTGCGAACAAAGTCTTTTATAATAACATAAAAATGTATTGTTCACTAGACACGGACTTTACTCTCGAAGATTGTTAACTTACGGCAGAAGAAAGATGTCAGAAATATTTGAAATGAATCAAATAATGTATTTTTTGGAAATGTTTATCAAAGAATTCGTCGCTTAAAACTAAAACCCTAACTTTCAAAAACATTGCGTATGTTCGTAATAATGAGATGAGATGTACTTCTTTGTTCGTCGGGAAATATCCAATAGCTCGCATCAGATTTGGAATCTGCTCGACAACCACAGCGTCGGAGATGGTTCTAGCAGCAGTCGTGTTCTCGCCCTGATGTAAGATCTGCGCATAACAAAACTGGTCCTTCATCTCGTTTGCCAACCATCCTTTTTTCCCACCTTCGACGAGAGTGTAAAACGGCGAGAGCCCTTCTTCGCCCAATCGCGCCATTATGTCAACGGACCTAGAAAAATTTTTATAGCATGAGAACTTGTCGTGTGTCATTACGGCCGTATTAGATGATGTCAGAGTCGAGAACCTTACAATGCAGATCGGAGCAAGTGGATTTTTCGCTCGTGTATTCATTCACGTTTAATAGAAGGAGTGCAGCTAATAGAGACTAATAGAGAAAGTCCCTTATCGTGAGATAGGCTTATGAGATAGCAGGTTTTCAATATCCAAATTCAATCACGAGTCTTTTTTTCGCGGCGATTACACGATCTAACAATGAATTTTCCACTAAACAGATCTCACTCCAAGGGCATTAAATTCATGGCGAAGCCAACAGACGACGTCTATTAATTTAGTAGAAACCCCGCTATCTCATATTAGGAGTCTGTCTTATAATATTCCTCTACCAATGACTTTCTTCAGTTTGCAAAATAACAAATAATTACCAATTTTAATTAATTAATTACTGCAAGACCTGTTTCCGCTAGAAATGCATTTAAATTAAATAATAAGCTTGTCTATAAGGAATCATAAAAAAAGAATAATATCTACAGAAGGCGAGGAGAAATATCTATTAATATATTTTAGTTTTGTTTCAGGAAAAAACTGTAATTTCTCACTTTTGACATCAAAATTCAACACAGTCGCAATGGGAAGGTAGTCCGAACTACTCTACATAACGCAAGACAACCTGAGCTTGATTTTCCACATTAAGACACACGGATCGTCGTAACCTGCGGTAAAAAGCATTTCTCTATTGTTGCTGACAGAGATACCTATTATCTGTAAATAGAAATTAATTATAACACTCGTGTAGGTCAGTTAAGCGTAAATATGTAGAGGAAAGTCCTCTATGAGATAGGTTTCTAATATGAGATAGCAGATTCTCAATACCCAGATTCAATCACAAGTCTTTTCTCGCAACGATTACACGCGGTCTAAGAATGAATTTTTCACTAGACAGATTTCGCTCCAATGGCAATAAATTCAGGGTGGGATCAACAAATGACGATATTAATTTAACGGAACCCCCGCTATCTCATATTGGGAGTCTATCTCATAACAAGGGGCTTTCTTCTCTATGTAGAAGCGTCTGACTTTTTGCGGATGGCCCGTCATGCCGACGACCTTGTACGGATTGCCGTCGAGAGGCATTAGTTGAAGGCCAATTTCTCTGTCGGTCGCGAACACCATGTAGCCATTATTTTCAACAAGTTTGTCCGTTAAGATCTGTAGACATTGTATCGATTTTTAATGCAGTATGATAACTGATTAATTCTAAAGCGAGGAAATTTCTCTGACAGATAAGAAAGAGCAAAATTTGAAGTAAAGGTAGAAAAGTTCCGAAAATACGCTCTTTATTTTTTAATTATACCGTTATAAGATATTTAATGAATATATCTTTAAGGAGAAAAATTGTTGTAGCTTAATCGTCTACACCAATATAACGAATTAATTGTTATTGTTTTCATGGATTTTAAAGTTTGATTAGCGATTAATTGGAATATTTGGTTACATTTTTCACCACAGTTGTATGTGCTTTTATAAATAAGTAATTGACTGAAGAAACGTCCTTGTGATTTTACAGAATGTTTAATTACAACTTTGTTTGAATTAATTGTCGGCTAAAGAAACGGTGATTGTTAATTCAATAATCAGAGCTTTATATATATATTCAATCCGATTGGTATGTTCTAAAATAAAATCCCATTACATTACTTGAAAGTATTGTACTGGTCCTTCAAAGGTCGGCCCTAAGTAAGTACCGCGAATCGTCTTGGTAAAGTCACTGAAGAGCTTGTATTTGTACTGCAATTATAATTAGGACATTAAGTTTTGCTCACGCTTGGATGACTCGCAGGATTATTACTTCGGAATTTGAGATCACGAGGAATCTTTCCGTGCCGGACTCGGGATACCATGCTAGACAAAGGGGAACGGCGCTTTGTTCGATTTGATCGATACGCAAAATTTGAAGTCCTGGTACCGGATATGGTCCGCTGTAATGGAACGAAACGTAGGTTGCAAATTATTACCATTTCCAGATGCTTAGCAAATTAATTAAATTCTGTTTTTTTGCTTCGTTACCTTACAAATTGTTCAAATATAATAACACAATATTCTGATATACCACATACTTATAATTATATTAATCTTATTGTAACAAAACTAATTATAAAGCTGTCGGTTATAACGTTTCCGCATCTAAATACTTCGAACAAATTGCATTAAACTACATCTTCGATGCAATTTCCACAAATGCAGAGACTACGTAATTCACGATACAACCTTCGCGCGAGATCGTATTCGACGAGCTCTCGATCCTCTCCCAAAGAAAAAAATCGCGGCGCATCGGAATCGGGTGCGGCCGAGCCGAAAAGTATGTCTCTGATAGGCAAATAGTGGGAGTGATATTTTCCAATCAAGTTCCACATGTTGGATCCCTTCGAAGCGACGGTGTCGTTTCTTTTAAACGCTACCACGGTCAACGCGTCGTCCTACAAGTAAAGGCATTAATTTGTCAAATTGATAATCAATTAAATTTGCCGTAACGTGTGCAACATTATTCGCAAAATACCATGGAATGCGGGACGATCGGGCCTTCTTACCGCATAAGCCATGTATTTGGCGCACCGCGTGAAAGCGACTTTATTAACAGCCGTCGAAGAATGCTTGTACGGTATCTCGTCTATAGGATCCAAGGTGATGTGATGTAGAATCCAGATCGCCCCGTTCTCTAAACCGCACACCAGCATATCGCCTGAAAGAAGATAAAGCGTTTCTTCACGTGGGGATTTTCTTCACTTCCTCTACAGCAAGGAGACATCGGAGGAGATCATTGGTATATACATCTCGGCGAGAACTTTAGAGCCGTGACGGCCTTCAAGGACTCGTGGCTCTGCGGACAAGTGACATAAACGATGTTTTCATCAGCCGCTTGCTGTTTGAGAATCGATTGGTAATCCGGAAGTGGCGGCGTGCCCCTGGATATCATCAGAATGTACGTCTCGTGATTGTATAAATGTACGATACCTTGCGCGTCACCCACAACCACATAATTGCTGTCATTGGAAAAAAATTACTATCCTTATTACATCGTTATATTCATTTCAACAGAATCCTGCTGCATGTCTGGAATTTTTCTACCTTTCTGGATGAGCGTCCATGCTAGTCGCGATTGAAACCGGATGACGAGACACAAGGCGACACTTCTGCTTTCGAATTTCTATCAGTGCTATTACGCCCGTAGAAGAACCTAAAGCAAAAGGTTCGAGATAGAAGAGGAATGCAATAATATCCCAGATAGCCAATACGCTCAAACAATGGATGCTAGCAACTGATTCAGATTTCTAGCTCTTCGCTAGGAACATGAATTCAATGTTTGAGTGATTTATGTACAGCTAGCATAATGTTAGCATATTGTCATAATTTTTTTACATTAGATGTGTTCTCTCTTTTACATCTGGCCAAGCACTTAATGCTAGCATAATGTTTGGATCATGCAAATGTTTCATTTCCGACGTCAAATGTTAGCAAACAACAGCACAATTTTTGTTAGCAATATTAAAGCAACTTGTGCTCACACTGGTTATCCGAGATATTCAGTAATTATGTTACATGCATATATATTAATATTTTAATATATCAAGTCATATAACCCTGGAACTTATTTCAATTTTCTTACAGGCAAGAAAATTTCGCACGTTGATTGGAGAACACCACAGCGTAGCGTCCGTTGGCGAACAGCTCGCTGTTGTTTCGTTAGTTATTGTGGATCGATTATCCTCATAGTTTTGTGGAATATGTTCCGCATTTATAGGGGGTGCTGATAAAACTGTCTCCGTTTTGTTATTATCTTGACGTACGTCTGAAAATATTTTGACATAATCTACATTATATTTTTCCACTTTGATAAGCATACAGTTGTACATAAACCTTGGCTTTCCTCTTTACACTCTGCGATATCAAACATAAGAGCATACGATAAGAAGGAACAACTTTGAATACTAAAAGGACTACCAGGACTTGAAAGAGAGATTACTGGATGAATACTCTCGAGATAAGGCTTACCCTCGGATACATCGACGGCAAATATTGGAGCTTTCAAATTGGATTGGCGATCGAAGCTTATCCATCGAATGGAGTCAAGATCGCGACTCTGGCACCAATACAAAAGTTTCAATTGATAATCGTAGAAGGTAACACGGCCATTCGAGTCTCCCGTGACAAGCATACTGCGAAATTAACGACTGGATCGTTAAATATACGACTATATCGCTAATTTTACTTGAGATTTTAGATTATAAAAATTTATATACCCTTCATTGTCAATCATAGCAGTAATACTGCTTTTCTGTAAATTAAGTGTCTTTATGTGCTTCTTCTTCTTCTTGCAATCATCGGTAATATGTTTGTCTTCGCAAGAAACATTGTCCCATATTAAAATGCAGCCTCAAATAATAGCAATATCGAAGCAAATTATTAAATAGATAATCAGATTAGTAACTAATGGATCAATAAATTAATAAACGGATGGTACCATTTGTACTCGCTGTAAATACTTGTTGTATTTTCGGAATGTAGCATGACACGTTGAAGACACCAATGCGTTGAAATTTTCTCATAACTTTGGGGCAATCGTAGCTCAAAGAGCGACCATCCTTGTTCATGAAATTTAGAAGAAATACATAATATATAAATATCGTCATAACTGAAGTTGTCATCTGCTGAATTAAATTAAATATTAGATCTAATAGATTTATGAAGTATTTTTTCTCCTAGCTTTATGAGGAATTTTCATTTCTTAATAATGCTTGATGCAAACTCTAGCTATATTATATTTGAAATACCTATTTCATAAAGAAAAAGTTTGAAATTTTATATAAACCTAATGAAAGTAATTTTACACGGGATTATATTTTAAAATTATTGTAACTTTTCATTGATTTATAACGCTATTTTCTTTGACAGCTCCAAGATATGTACAATTAAACAAATAATGATTTAGTTTTACCAACCCACGTTAGGAACAGGACATGATAATCAGTCGTCAATACAAATTGTTCCGGACATTCGTCGTTGAAAGTTATTTCCTTGACACGTTCGGACATAATGTCCATTAACGAAATCGATGCTGAAAATATTTTCATAAAATAAATCAGCACAATTCTGGCTTACTCTTCTGGATTCAATAATCGTACTCTTATAAAAATTTTAATCAGTATTGCACTTTCTTGTTCTATTAATTATTGTATAACAAGGGTCAAGATGCAAATATAATTCCTAATAATAATAGGAGCAACCTAATCAAAGTATAATTAATATCAATTTTATATGGCGCTGAATTTTCTCGAACAAGGAAATGACGTTGACGAATGTACAGATCAAGCCGGCGAACCATCCGGTAAGTCTCTCCCATAAGTCCATAGCCAGAAGTGCACAGTCTGACATTTCCCATCGCTAACGGTGACTATTTGTTTAGCATCGGGACTGATACCAGCAGCTGTGATGTCTTCGCTGCCACGTGGATTAAATAACGTGCAAACGGGAACCCTGAGGATGTGTTAACAGTTTCGCTAACTTCTCGACGCATGAAGCGTCATTTTCGCGAAACAACTTTCTGAAAGGACAAGAAATAATTACCCCTTTTCCGTGTCCCAAACCACTACTACACTATCCTCCCCAGAATCCGCCGTTAGCAACCACTTGCCATCGCGCGAGGTCGATAGCATTTCAACAGCGTTTCGCTAAAACGGACAACATTTGTCTTCAGTATTATTTGCCAGTAATTAGCATTGTTTAGCGACAAATCCAAGTGTATACCGACGTGCCCTAGAAGCGGTAAAATTTTCCTCGAGCTATAGTCGTAGATCACGGCCACGTGTGAACAGCCGTACGTTAATAACGTACGGCTTTCGGTAGTTAAATTGATGACCGGTGCCTCCGGATTCATCCCGAAGGACCACTGTAACTCCTGAAGAAAAACAACAAATTTTATTGATAGTCAGATTTGCCAGTAATCCTTTTTTACGTTTCTTTTACTCACGAACGGACACAGATCGTGCTGCGCAAATCTTTGCCCGAGACATTTTTTCTCCGTGTCGGTTTCGAGGTTTTCCGTATCTTCATTAATTTTCGCTCGAGATCGATCAGCAACCGACGGGCAAGCGGTGGTATACGTCGCCATTTTGTAACAAATGCGATTGTACAACAGTCAATTGATGGAGGATTGGGAATTCGCACTTTCCTTCGGTTCCTTCGACGACTTCGTTGAGACATTAGAGACCAAAACTTGCTTCTCATAAGCACATATACAATTTATTTAATATTCTAAATATGAGTACAAATTTATAACGCAACTATTTATAAAAAAATATAGTTTCTATTTCGTTACAAATGCAGCATCAATCTCGTGAATATTTTGCTATGATGAAACCATGGCGATTGTAAATCATAAAAAATGACTTACAAAAACACTACTAACTCTATTCGTAACTCTATTCGAAAGGCAAAATGAGTCAGTTTAGGAAATTTACTTTGGATACTAGTGAGGAAATATATTTCAGTTCGTAATAAGGAATTGTTTTAGAAACAATCGTGTCGGTCATGATTTCAACATTTTATTAATATTAATTTATTATTAATAAACTATCAAATACGCATCACAATAATTTTTTGCATCGACGATGCGTATGCTGTAAGACGTAATTCCTTGGAAAAAGTTATATATTATATAAAAGTACTATTAGTGCGACGTAACTATAACGGAGCCGTTGTTTCTGGATTCTATTCTTTCGCTGTTTAGTTTTGTAATACTGCGGTATTCCAGCGCTCTTGCCACGTAACGATGGAAAAAAACTGTTTCAACCGACAGGCTGGCTTTTGCCACAAGAGTACGGGCCGCGTTATTTCTTAATTGGATAACCGGTGCGGAATCTGCGAATGTAATCGAAAGAAGCACGACGGACGCTACGCGCGCATCGATCTAACTGCAGCAGCTTTGCGGCTTAGGATCCATGCCCGAGCGTTTGGTAATGAATATGCGCGTAAACTCCTCCGCTACCGTCGGATGTATGCCGACGGTGGACTTCAGTTTCGATACTGTTAAACCACATCTGCGAAGATACAATAAAATATGAGTTATACAGCTCCGAAATTTAGCTTTTAAATAAATCATTGGCGAGCTGCTGCGGGACAAGCGCTTACTTGATGGCAGCTGCGAATCCTTGAATTACTTCGCCCGCATTGGGTCCGACGAAGTGCATTCCAAGCACCCTTTCATCGCCGTGTCTAAGCGCGACGACCTTCACGTAGCAGCGATCAACGTTCTTCTGGGGTACGAAAAATTCCGTTGGCTTGTAGTACGCGTGGAATATCTCTATCTCGTCTTCCCCGTGGAGCGCGATCGCCGCTTCTTCGCTCAGTCCGACGCATCCGTATTCCAACGGACTGAACACTGTCGTCGCGACATTCACGTAATCCATTTTGTCGGTCGAATTACCATACAATCTTCTGGCCAACAGTTTACCCGCGTGTATAGCGACGGGTGTTAGTTCGGGCTTTTTCTGCGACAAAAAGAAAAACCGATTGTATTTATATTATATTCAAATTTTCGATTATAATTGTATCTAACTCACTATAATTAAATATTGGAAACGTTAGAATGGCAAGAATATTTCGAATTATCCAAGTTGTAATTGTCCGGTTATATTTTCGATAAGCCTGCATCAGACTACGGATTGAAATTGAGATTAGATTGAAACTGGACCAATCGGAGTAAAGTTTACTAATCTCAAGTTTAGTGACTTTTACTCCGATTGATAAAATTTCAATCTAATCTCAATCTCAATCCGTAGTCTGGTATGGACTTTACGTGTCGAGGAAACTTACATGAAGTACATCGCCAACCGCGTAAATATTTGGAACATTCGTCTGCTCGTTAACTGCATCGATCTTTCCGGTTTCTGGAACAAGCTTCAACCCGGCGTTCTCCGGTTTCAGCTCTTGAGTGAGCGATCGTCGACCGATGGCAAACAGAACAGTGTCGTACACATCCTGATGAATTTGGCCATCCTAAAAGTTTCAAATTACAACTCGATATATAAACCAATGCGGACTTAATTTGTGCCATTTGCATGCGTAAATTCGACGACAAACGCATACCTTGTCGACCCAGTCAGCTAGGAGGCGGCCGTCCTCCTGTTTCGCTACTTTCTTAAGCTTCGCCTCGTAGACGAAATTCACGCCGCGTTGCTGCATCTCCTCGGCAACGTGCTCCGCCATTTGCCGATCAAATCCGCGCAGCACAATCGAACGTGCCATCAGCGTTGTATCGTAGCCCAAGCCATTAAGAAAACCAGCGCACTCCAGACCGATATCTGTATCTTGTCGCTAAGGGAAATCTCAATTTATGTACACAATTACGTCACAATGGAAGATCCAAAGAGAAATGGTTCTAAAATTTGACTGAAGGATACATCCAGCGCCGACAACGAGAGTCTTTCCTGGCGCACGCTCCAAGCTGAAGATGTCGTCGCTAGTTATGCCGTACTCTACAGCGCCTGGAATATCGGGATATCTTGGCCTACCGCCCACCGCGATTAATATGTTTTTAGCCGTAAGCACTTTCTCCTCCCCCTTCTTGGTGACCCCGACTACCGTGTGTTCGTCCTTGAACTCCCCAAGAGCGTTGAAATATTCAACTTTCCTACAAGTGAAACGTTCACTAGGTGAGTACCGCCTCGGGATAAACATTTAGATAAGTAATTAACACGCAGAGCATAAGGATAATGAAACAGTACGAATATGAATTGGCGCTACATGAACACGAATAAAACAATACACAGACAAAGTAGGAAATAAACTGACTTTGTCCTAAGCTCGACGCGAGTGACCCAGTTCACAGACTTGACGTGATTTTGTACGGCGGTCCTCAAGGCTTCCCAGTCGATTTTTACGGTCTTCGGGTCTACCTGCCAACCGAACGTCGCCGCCTCCTGAAAGCCAGACAATCCGTGAGTCGGAATTACACGCGTCATTTCAATCGCAACAATCGGGAACGTTTGTGTACATGAACAGCTTCACCCAGCAGCGCCGCTTGGTGCATGAGTTTCTTCGGTATGCATCCCACGTTGACGCAGGTGCCGCCCAGACCCCAAGTGGTGCCGATCGGAGACGGGGATACGTAATCGAGAACCGCGACTTTCGCACCCAGTCCCACGGCTTCCTTGGCTGCCGCCAGGCCGCCTGACCCTCCACCGATGACCAAGAGATCGTACGTATAACCATGATCCGCTGAAAGACGATTACATCTGTATACCACAAGATCCTTCGACGAGATAAATTCTACAACGTCTACATAAATCTATGTAAGATATGATTTACCTAGATTTTATCTACATAAATCTATGTAAGATATTATTTACCTAGATTTGTCTAGATTTTATCTACATAAATCTATGTAGAATATGATTTACCTAGACTTGTCTAGATTTTATCTACATAAATCTAGATAAATTACAGGAAAGTCTCCTATTATGAGACAAGTTTCTAATGCGAGATAGCAGGGTTTCCGTCGAGTCGACAAGCATCATCTATTGGTTCCACCATGAATTTATTGCTCTTGAAGTGAAATCTGTCCAGTGAAAAATTCATTGTTAGATCGTGTAATCTCCGCGAGGTTGTGATTGAACTTCGACGTTGAAAACCTGCCATCTCACAACGGGGGACTTTCCTCATTTTTATTTTCTACAAAAGTCTAAACGAAACTTAAAAATCTAAGCGCTACACGGCAATGTAAAAAAAAAGACTCGACGGACAATATAGACGTTTAAAGAAACGGCGCGTAAAGATACATATATGTATATATCTCGGGTGTCGGGATTTGATCGGTCCTTCGCGAACCTAGAAAGGGACACGAAGCAAGTTGAACCGGGACTAACATAAAGTCGAACCGCCGCGCGAACACACCCGGGCCGATTTGGAATTGCGCGCGCGAGCCGGTGGCGCAATTTTCTTTTTTTTTTTACGTAACGCGACCGCGACCGCCCTCGCTCGTCCCCGCCGGACACACTCACTGCACATGCAGGCCATCGCCGCGCTCCTGCCGTAGGCGAGACCGGCGTCGCATCCAGCGAGGGGCGTCCGCCGGCGCGACGCCAACCCGAGCAGCCTGGCGTGCGCGCCCCGAGATGACACGAGCCGCGCGAATACCGTCACTGTCGCCATCATAAACGGCGACATGCAATTCACGATTGTCTGGGGAGAGAGAGAGCACGTGACGTCAGTGACGCGCCGACGAGCGTGAGGCACTCTGGCGAGGCCCGGAGCGAGGCGCGGAGACCGACCGTTCGCCGCTACCAGCCGCACCCCGCGCTCCGCCGTCCGTGATTCGCGACGACGACGCCAGTAATCCGATGAGATCGATCCTCATAACCGGCTGCAACCGCGGCCTGGGCCTGGGCCTGGTGAGGCACCTGCTCGAGTCGCCGAGGCCGCCGGAGAACGTCTTCGCGACCTGCCGCGACGCGAGCAACGCGACGGTAAGAGACGCGGGGGGGGGGGGGGAGGGAGGGGGAGGCGAGGGGTATATTCCCTCCGTTGACTCGCGCGGACGCGCAGACTTGTTACGTTACGCAATGTTTCGCGCGTACGGGTTACTTACCGATCGGCGCCATCGCGACTCTCTTTGCTCCTCGCGCGTAAGAGCGAATGTTCTCCACGATTTATCTCTGATCGCGCGTCAAACCGTAAACGTCGAGGCGCCTCGGGGTATATCGAGCTCGACTCGCGCGACGGTTAAAGTCACACTGACACGCCGACGAGAGCCACGGCTCCCCGTAACCGCGCGAGCACTCTCTGTCGTCACCGCCATCTGTTACGCGTCCTTCCTCGTCGTCCTCCCTCCCTCCCACCCCGCCGCGCCACTCAACGTCGCGTTTTGACGGCGAGTCAGCCGGACACGCGGTGCCGCGCTCGATCGTTGCGCAAGCCGGGCTGAGTCGCGGATTCGAGGGACCGGTTTTTCGCGCTATCGCGCGTCGCACGCGGCCTCGCCGTAGAACCGCCGCCGAGATAATTTGAGATAATCGCCCTCTTCGCTCTTCTCCCCTCCCCCCCCCCCTCCCGCCCGAACAGCGTTTGAACGGAAAGGGAAGAAATGAGCGGAATTTTTGCAGGAGCTACGCGCGCTTGCCGACAAATCGTCGAACTTGCAAATCATCGAGATAGGTGAGTCGCCGCCTGCCTTGTCGCTGTTTTCTATCGATTGTTCGCCGGCGCGAGGGATTTGAATCGTCCCGCGGGAAGATTTGGAAGCGAGATCCGTTTGGTGAAAAATCGATCGTCAGATCGCCCGTGCAGCACCGAAGCTTTCGGAAACATTTCAGAAAACATTGTCGCAATGTTGCATAACTTTTTTATGTATCCACTTTTTTGTAATTAGAGGAAAGCCCTCGATTATGAGATGGTGGGGTTTTCAACGCCCAAATTCAGTGACAAATCTTTTTTTGTAATCGGTTACACGCCCGTACAGCACCAAAGCTTTCAGAAACCTTTCAGAAAACGTTGTTGCAATGTTGCGACGTTTTCTGAAGTTTCTTTCGTTCTTTGTAAACTTCCACGATTTGAATTAAACGAGAATACGTTTGTCGCGAAATCGATTGTCGACCTCGAGTCGAACTGCGATTGAAGGAAGATTTGCAACTTTGAAAATTTCTTTTATTTTTACGAAGATTCATACGAGAGGGAAACCGCCGAGGGCATTGTGGTGTATGCACAGATTTGCGGCACTACTGCATTGACAAAAAAAAATTTTTTTTCAACCAATAGGTTTACTTAAAATTCTTTTATACTGAAGTAAATAAGAAATCCAATATTCTTCGCTGTGAAAATTACATCTTAGTGAACATTTTATACAATTAAAGTAATTCTTTGATATTTAATAAATACATAAATTAAAGCAATGCATGTTTTAATTTGTTTATTACTTTCTTAAGGGGACGCTGGAGTGATTCTGCACTTTTGCACCTTTCTAACCTAAAAACTGTCAGTTCGCGGAAACATTTGTGTAATATACAAATTAAATGGCTTACGTGTACAGATCGAAAGCAACTTGCTATTCCGGCCAAATGAAAGAACAATATGGCATCACTGAAACTAAGTTTGTAAGTCTAATAAGAAATAATAGTGAGCAACACACATACTACATGTACTGTACGTATGTGTTGCTCACTATTATTTTTTATTAGACTTACAAACTTAGTTTCAGTGATGTCATATTGTTCTTTAATTTAGCCGGAGTAGCAAGCTGCTTTCGATCATCTGTACACGTGCCATTTAATTTGTGTATTACACAAATCTTTCCACGAAACAGACAGTTTTAAGTGCAAAAGGTGCGAAAGTGCAGAATCACTCCAGCATCCCCTTAATTTAAGTTAATAAGCTATTAGGAGCCACCTAATTTTCTTGAGCAAAGTAATGTTTTTTCATCAGTGTGGGCATTAGGTTTTGCTGGGGCATTACAAAGATAAAAATAAGATAAAACAAGATAAATAAGATAAAGTAATGCCCGCTGGGCATTAGTGGGCATTGGTGTATGTACAAGATTTTGGTCAGCGGTTTCCCCCTCGGATTCATACTAGTCTTGAAATAAAGCGTCGAGGAAGACAGCTGAGAAATACGCGTAAATTAATTTCCAAAAATTGATACGTGACTGATTATACTGGTCAAACCGGTTACAGCGCGATGACAAAGTAACATACAAACGATGAGATAAGAAAATTTCGGCAGGTCGATTTTAGCATAAGAACACGTTATGGTGATGAAATATTCGCACGGTGCCGCACGCGTTTCGAAGGGAACCGATATCTTACTTGTGTATGATACGGGAAGAATATTCTCCTGCACCTGCTGGTCCTCCATTTTACTGTCGACATTGCTGTCTGTCTCCACCTTGCTCTCCTCGTCGTTGTTCATTTCGTTCTCGACATCGCCCTCCGTTTTGCTCTCCGTTTTATTTTCTGTCTTATTCACATGATCCTCCATTCTTTCTATCTTGTTCCCGATATCATCCTCAGTTTTGCCCACCCCTTGATTCTCTACTTT